TATGTAGGTGCGATGTGATCGGGTTATGCTCTGCGGAAGCTAGTAACGTCACCCAGCTTGCATGTTAGTCCGTTACTTGGTAGTATGCTCCACACCCCAATGGCCCCAAAAATGTCGTGCGAAAATCTACTCAGGCGCAGTTTTTACTTATGCATCCTAGCAGAGTAAGGCAAAATGTCTAAAGCGAGAGAATTAGTACTTTACGACCCGTTTTACGACTTTCACACTTTACGACGGCTTTTTCACACAGTCTAAATGGAGACATTCTTTCACACTGAAAACAATCATGAGGGAATGCACGCTTCAAATATATGACAAAATTTGCGACTAGGTCATATCGTTGCTGGGCTCCCCAGCAAGGGGGTCGTATTTGGACGCTGGGAAAGGGATGCTCGCATTCAGTCTGTGAAAATTTTTTTAACAGTTGATTTTTCTCGTTTCGGAGACGATATCAAGGGGAAACGGTCGTATTTGTTCGTTGTTGGGAGAGGGGTCGTATTTGACTCCTGGCTTTCCGAGAGACAGAGTCTGTTGAAATTTCTGATTTTCATGGGTTTTCCTGTTTCATATATCCTCCCCCCGTCCTCGACAGCAAATTTCAAATTTTTCGGGGAAAAGTAGGAAAAATCTCGGGAAGTTCAGGAGAATGTGGATCGTATTTTCTTCGCGGTTCACATGTGCTATTTACCCCCCCCCCCACCCCCTATACCGCTCGACAGCTTGATGTAAGCAAGGGAGAGAGATGTGCCAACCAAGGGGGGTCGTACGGACTCCACCAAAATCGCCAACTAACGACGTGTCCTGTTTGTGAGCCAATTTCCATTCTGCGCAATGGGAAGGTTCCGCCTGAAAAATCGTAATATATGCACAGAAAGCAAAATCGCTATCCACGTTAGGAGGGTTGTGGCCCTTGAAAGGCTCCTTATGTACGCTGACTAAGCGCGCAGGGGGGGGCGGAAAAACAATCTTGGCGCACGCAGCGTCACTCATTCTTTCGGGCTTGGTTTAATGATGTTACTGGACTTCCCAGCCCTTTCTTCATTACTTCTCATGTGTTTAGTTTTTCAACTAACTCAATGATTCTTTTCAACATTTCTTGATATTGCGGGGATAGGATGTAGGTTTGTTGTTTGCAGGACGGCCTATCAAGAGTTGTGGTCCACTTGTCCTTCGAATTCGTCTATAAAAGACACTATGCAAGAATGTTTGAACCATGTCAATCAAGAAATCCTTATATTATACATAGCTGCCTGCCATTCATCTTTTGAAGTTGTTTCCCTCCCTATCCCATCCCTCCAGAAAAAGTCACGAAGACGAACAGAGCCTAAATTTATGGCAGTGAGATGGATTCAAAACATTCACTGCCAAACTAATGAAACCTTTTCGGGGTAAAGCTAGGTTATGCGTCGAATTCTTTCTTCAAGTGAATAGCTTTACGCTGTCGCGCTATTGAGCTATTCAGGTGTTGATTAATCAAATTAGTGACCTGACCAAAAGTGGTGCATTTTGAGGAGTGTTCATGCCAATGCTGTATCTTTCGCTGCAGATGATGGGGCGTGTCAAAGGAAATGAGTTTAGCGCAGTGCCAACCCGTTTTTTTTCTTTCAGCTTGTGACCGGCTTGTGACAAGACTATCATCTCGTTCGTCTCAGTCTTTTTCAAAAGATGTTGTCGCTTAGCCGCTTCACCGATTGGTGAACGGGCTGGCGGCGCGCCAAACCCACCCTTACTGAAACGCCCCATCGTACGCAGCGGACAAGACTGTACGTTCATTAGGACCTCTCAAATAACCGCTTACAGAGCTCAACTATGTGTTGGATCGCAACACCTGCATTGCTCATATGATGGCTACGGAGCTGGCGGACCAGTGCCCTGACATTGGTGCTCCCATGGAGAAGAACATTCCGCATACTCGAGCTTCATTTAAAATTCAGGTTCTCCTTGATTTCAACTTTGACACCACGATCAGAAAAGAAAAAAATATTTAGGATGTGATACCGAAGTCGCATTTGGCCTCCTTCAAGCTTACTGAGAAGGAGATGAGGCTTATTAAACCGGAAGACATTGAGGAGAGTGAAAGGATGCTAGCAGAAAAGAAAGGAACTCGGAATCGACTTGGACAAATCGTTTCTAAAGCACTGGATGATGCAAAAAGGTCTGTTCCTAGATTGAGCAATGCTCTTCAAATTCTATATAAAATAGCGTAAGTATTCAGACCCCTGGTTTTATTTTAGTGTGGGGACGTCAAAAGACACTGGGACAAGCACGTCGCATCAAATCTTAGAACAAGAATAAAACGGTACTGAACTTCTAAAGGCGGCCCAAGTACCCGATGGAAGTTCAAAAAGAATGGGTTCGTCTCATTTTCCCCAACACGATGTGAACCCTTCGTTTCCTCTCAACTTTTTCCATTCGCACTGGTTTCTGTGACTTGAACAGTGTGCTTATGGTGAACTCTTTATCCCACGTGCAAGGCGGAGACAAGACCAACTAGGTACATATTTGTTCCCGACTAGGAAACCTTTTCCCTTTAAGAGCCTTGCCAGTTGCTGCTATTGCCGCTAAGTGACTGTAAACATCGAGAAGCGCATGTGCTCAAACATGGACCCGCTAGGCTTGGTCAAACTGTGAACTGTAGCCGATCTTGGAAAAACTGGTCAGCCTCATATTTACGATGACTGAATCGCTCGTAGGAAATCTAGAAGAAACGTTCTTCGGACTGCATTTATGGTGGAGTGGGGCCAGGGAGCATAACAGTACAGTTAACACGCTTGCGTTGATTGATAGGGTTGAGTCTGTGAAACAATACGTCAACCATAACGACGTTGTCCAAGCAGGGATGACTGATGCCTTCGATGCCTCTACCAAAGGAACGTGCATGCGAAGAACTCAAACGTGGGAGTTCCGCACTTGCTACAAGTAGATCTCAAAGACAGTTTCCGCGACCAAGTGGTCCGCGGAATGTATCCGCGCATTTGACACTCGGGTCCGCGCGGCAGAGAATGTACCACTTTCGTCACTCGAAACGGCGAGATAAAGAAGCTAGAGACGCGTGATTATTGCAACCATTGCAACCACGATTACTTTCACTCTGCAAGACAAGGCCTACAAGCGTTGCATTAGCGTTACCTGGAGCGTCGCAGTGTGATTTCCTACGCTCCTGCCGGGAACTGGTTGCATATCGAATCCTGCGGATTGGGCTTGCCGACGTCCGAAAAACTCCTTCAAGCCGCCGGCCCACTGGTTCTGTTGAGAGTGTTTCCGAGTTTTATATTATGATAACTGCTGTTTTACGCCGCAGTTCGCGCTTCGAAAGTTATCACAAGAATGCTGAGTTATGGGCAAAAGTCGAACCCCAGGCGGGAGTCGAACCCGCACTTCACCCCTTCCGAGAGAGCTCCCTATCCGTTACCATCGGTTGTAGAGTTTCCAAGGTTTCTTTTCCGCTTCTTTCCCTACTGGGGAGTCACTCATGCGCTACAAGTTCATGATTGAGCACCTACTACCCGGAAACTGTCTCTAAAGGCTCGGTCCGCGATCAGATATAGAAGTTTGGAAATACCTTGTTTTAAGGGCAGTGTGGTCCGCGAGAAACAACCTTGTACCGATTTCGCGGCAAAAAATTGTAAAGGAGGGGCGCTATAGCGCAATATAGGTTCAGTGAGCTCCTTTTTTCCAGTGACTCCGCCTCTAAAGCCAGTCTTACATTGAAAAACGAAGCTGCAGGACGAAAATGCATAGTCGTCACTTGCACGATCGTAGAGTTCTCATCGGGGGAATCACTGTGCGGATGAGAGCCGTAATAGTTTGAAGTCCATGCGACCGCAAGCTAATAAGCCATCAACACAGAATAGCAAAGAATAAAAAAAACTGCACGATAAATAACAGGGAAGTAAATATGACGAAACAAACGAAACTGGGCCAATGGAAGTTCAATAGGGGCACGAACAAAGTGGATCGAAATGGGGTCTATCTGGCAGGTGGCAAGTTTTTTCTGCCTTTTTCTTCACTATCGAGTTACCCAGCACTTTGTCGTCTATGTGCTAATTCCTTATCCACTATCTGTGATGGCGAATGATCGCGGGTTTTGCTTTAAGGCTGCAGGCTATCTGTAAGCGTGGGCGATGTCCCGGCACGTCAGTCTCAGTCAGGCACTCAGTCCCGGCAGTATATGCAGGCGTGCTTCTGCCTCGAGGGAGGGTACTGAGAAACGACGTAGTCTTTTGAACTGATCATGAGAAATACATTATACTTGTATTTTTTGCGACAGTTAAATTACGATTCCCATTCATCTTCCATATCTGCTGCAGACATCCCTAATCAAATTTATGGGAAATTTTCCAAATGGGTAGGCGCATTTTGGGCACAAGGCTGCTCCAAATATCGGACAAATTGCATCAGTTTGCAGTCGGATTGCATACATGGGGCAAGTGAGCGCTGTACCACGTTACCGTGTTAGTTGGAGCCACGCCCTAAATTTGAAGTTGACGGGAGCAGACTGTCATTTTAGTACCTCAGCGACCTCGCCAGAGATCCGCAGCAGGCTATTGGCGACGGAATCGAATCATCTTCCGACCAGAAACACATTAGACAGTGTATTTTCAGTACAAACGGCCCACCTTCCAGTAGTAATGGCTCTTTTGACTTATCGTTTCGTGCTTAGATCCTGGGAGGCAATAGGCGCCGGAGAGCGAGGAAGAGGAGGGAATATTATACTTCAATCTTTCACGTCCTCTTTCATTCTCTGAGGCTTTGTCTGATGGTCGTTACCGTGAGTAATGTGTCTTTTTGCTTTCCATTTCGTGCAACAAGAGCCGACCTATGAATGTAGTGAGAACATAATTTGGCCCTTACAGAAAACAGAAGTGGAAGAGACATGTTTATAACTTCAAAATGAACCGAAAAAGGGACGAAACCACGAAGTGCGGCCGAAATTGGGTCCTTACCTACCGCTCCAACAGTAAGGGCTCCATTTCAGCCGTGCTTAGCGTTTCGTCCCGTTTTTCAAAGACGACTTACGTACTTATTTAATTAGGTGAAATACACAACAGACACATAAATCTCTGTGCAAAGTGTTGCACGCATATAGCCCATTACCCCAAATTATTTTCGACTAGGACTTTTCCTGTTCTGAGCACGGATCACAAAATACCGAGTTTCTCTCCTAACTTATCCTTCAACTGCTTGAAATCCTGCTCGGTGTTGAATTTACTGCACTCATTTCAGAAATGCGAAAAAGAATGGCGATATCGAAGAATTGACCGAAGACGACCAAAATTGACTGTGAATTTGAATCGACTGCTATTAATCTTCTGTTAAGAACTTATTATAGAGAAAAAAATCTGTGCATGTTCTCACAACATTATTTTTTTGAAATTTATTTGATGTACGAATTATCTGAATACAATTTTCCACTGTAGGTGTTTGCCATCGTTTCTTCACCTACCAGAACATCAATCGCTAGAAGTCCTTTTGACAAGCTCACTGCAATTTTCATCAATAAGACCCTTCTAGGTACCCAGGTTTGCAAAATTCATACCTATATCCTCAACTCTCGAAGGATTCCGCTGAATATTGCTATTGATAATGCGTCGCGGCAGTTTTTTCATGAATATTGAAGCAGAATTATCAGGACGCCGCCGCCTTCGTAAAAAAAAACAAAAATGATTCGGAACTGAGACGTCATGCACAGTTGCTGCTCGTTGAGCGTTACCAACAAGATCCGAAAGAGTCAAGCGAACACTACCGTAGCCACCAGATTTCAACTGGCCTCGCAAGAAAGGTTGACCCGTTTCATAACCCACAAGCGAATAAAAGCCTTTGGACAAAT